AAAGTGTTTTCACATGCATGTCAATTCCACAATTTTTGTTTTAAAATAATTTTCCAAATTAAAGAAAAGCTAACAAGTAATCTACGTACGATAGTAGTAGTATTTCATACATATAGGAATGGTACTAATGCTACTTACAACTTCAATTATTTAGAGTCTCACCAAAATAAAATCTCATATTTTTTAAAGTGTTATAACTTTTTCATTTGTAATCCTATTGTTACAAAAAATATATCAAATTTCATAATTTTTTATTATCTTTCAAATGACACTAATATTGAATATACAAAAATAAAAAAATAATTTAACACTAAAAAACATTTATTTGTTTAAATTTATATAACTTTTTTATTTGTACTATGATTGTTACAGAAAATATATCTAAAATCATTTTTTTTATTATCTTTCGTATGATATCAATATTGAATATATAAAGTTAAAAAATATTTAACAATTATTGTTAGATAAAATCAGGTCAGAATTCGACAGTTGCAAAGTGTTCTACATCAGTTCATATGAAATCAGTCTAGATCAGACTTAAACATATCAAACCAGATAGACCGGACCTGAAGATTGAAGATTTCAATCGATCTAACATGTGAAAACATACTTTCTCTCAAACATAGATCAACACAATTGTAGTCAAATAAAATTTCACTACATATATAAATTTTAGACTCCTACTTTTATAAATTTTACTCAAACACATTAAACACAATTTCACTATTCTTATACACAATTTCTCCAATCTAAAGTTACACCTTTCTCATTATTCCATATGAATTTTTCTCCCGATTTTTCAATCTCATCTCCCCATGGCATCTTTGCAAAATCTCTTTCGTGAACTGATACTCGTAAAAAAAAAGCTACATGTACAACTATTGTTAAAATCAGTATTCTATTGATAAAATAATCAAAATCACACGACTTAGTGAGACCTTAAATAGTAAAAGCACTACCTTTAGTATATAACAAATCTCCATTTAATACTTTTTGAGTGTCTCTTTTTTTTTTCATTAAATTTCATGCATACCTTTCTTGGTAACTGTTACGTTAAATGTTTAAATATGTTAAAACAAAAGTTAGACTATTTTACTAAGTAGATATAGTTCATTCGAAATTGTTCGATTCAGTTTGGAATTAAAACTTATACATTGAAATAAGGGTTAAACTAAATTAAATCAATTCAGAATCAAAAAATAAATTGAAATGATTATACTAAATTTAAGTAACGTTTCTTTAATTGGGATTTCAATCAATGGCCATGTTTGGTAAATGACTTATCAGCCATTTTTCAGCTTATTTGACCACTTTTAATGGGGTTAACCAGCTGAAGTGACAAAACTTATGTTTGGTAAATGGCTGGTGAGATTAGATTATTGCTCTCCAAAAGCTGAGTTTCAAAACGCTAGCAATAGCAACGCTAGTAATTAATTAGTACCCATTTAAACCTCACGTTACTTCAATTCCATTTGGTGTTTTGGCTTCTGTGCATTCCAATTGAGTGTTTTTTACTCACGTGTACTGATATGCATCATATTGCTTACATGCTGCAGCGCACCATCTTCATTTTTTTAAATTATAAATAAACATGATTTTTTCAAATTCATATTATTCAAATTAATTTAAAATGTTTGTTTTAATTTATTTTACTTTTCATGCAGTTTTATGTTTCAATTTCTAAAATTTGAATGACTTGCACGATAAGTAAATATAACTAATACGGAGTATGAGTAAAAAAAAAAACTAATACGGAGTATGAAAGTATTATTTTTATGAGCAACAACCAAAAATGAAATAAAATAGTAATGTCCTTGTATGTCTTTTTACACGTAAACAGTTAATTTACCAAACGTTTGCTGACAACAAGCTAACATAATCAGCCAACCAAAACAGCTGACACAACCAGCTATTGTCAATAAGCTGTCATAACCAGTTAACAGCTAACAGCCAACAGCCGATTGCCAAACAAGGCCAATATAATTGTTTTTCAAAGAATAACCAATACTCATTCTTTCAATAATTATTTCATTGAAAACTTCTTCTCCTTAGGTATATTCTTCCACCTTTTTAGAGTATTTAGGATATTTTTAATTGGATTAGTTTCAGTTTCATACAGGTCAGACCAAAACATACTAGATCAAGTCATGTTAGACTTTGACAGTTGTAAAATACTTATAGAACAAATATATATCATAGTCGACCCGTTCATATCAAATCAGAACATACTGCACTTAAATAGATCAGAACATACTACCCATTCAGAAAATTTCAGACACATTAAAAACACCCTTACATGAGATTTACATGTGAAAACACAATTTCACTCTAACATAGATGACCACAGTTTTACTCAAACACAATTTCACTAGGCTCTTCTACAAAATTTCACTCAAACACGAATTATGAAAATGACACAATTTTACTAGCGTCATACACAATTAATAATCGGTTGTAATTATTAATCTTCTTATTTACTACTGATTTATTTATCTTCTGATCTCCTACTAGCTGAAAGCAGGTTTTAAAAACGCGGTCGTCTCCTAGGTTTTCCTAGGGAGTTTTTCCGGCACCGTCCATGGTGGCGGTAGTGTCCGGTTGCTCTTCTCTCGATTGTTCGAGGATTCTATCAAGGAAGAAACATGAGTATTATGAGCTGGAATTGTCGGGGTCTAGGAAACCTAGCCACGACTCATTGTGTTACACAGACGATGTTCTCGATCGCGGCTTGGTCTCGGCTGGGACTCAGGCGAATGGACGGAGCAAGATTGAAGGCCAAAGATCGTTCATGGTGGAGATCAAAAGGTCATGGACGAAGTGTGGGGCTAGGGACTGGATCAGATCTGGATCGGAGGCAAGGAGCGGAAGATGATTCAGTATTGCTGGACCATCCCCCTCCTCCCCTCCTGAGCCGCCGCCATGGAGTGCAGGAGAGTCTAGGGTTTGGAGGCAGTATTTTAATTTTATTATTTGCTTGCTTTTTAATTTCCATGGTCAGACTGTTCTGTTTTACTTTTATTGTTTCCTTTGCTGTAAGACTCTTGCAATAAGGTGGGTGGGGGGGGGGGAGAATTTGCGGTAACCGTCATTAGCTCTAAATTGCCCAAATTTGGTCTAGCGAGTTATACTGCTTTTTTACAGGTGGTTAGCTCTCAGTCTCGGCCACGGGCGGATGGTTATTTGTGGGTTTTTTCTAGTTCTGTACTCTTGCTGAATGCTATTTTTATGAATTAAGTCTTCTTCGAGAAAAAAAAAATCTTCTTATCTCCTACTAATTTAATAATACTTTTAATTACGAGCTCACTTGGAATTAATAATTACTCTGTAGTAATTGTTAATACTACAGATAATTGTTTATAATATGTAGGAGATAAGATAATAATTTTCTTATCTCATACACCATGTTAATAATTGTTTAAACGTTTTTGGAGTCTATATTTTCCAATGAAAAGATAGAGAATTTTCAACTAATTATTTAAACATTTTTCATTCTATATTTTGTAATGGAAAGAGTATTTTTTATAACTCTCAATCGCATCCAAATGAAATTCATCTTTTCAACTATCTTGCCAAGTACCTTGTGGTATGATGGCATCATTGTTGATCTCCCAAAGAGGAGGTCACAGGTTCGAGTCTCATCCAATCAAGGATGTTGACATTAACAAGAGCAGATACTATAATAGATTTAGAAGAATGTTCCAAAAAAACTAACTTTACCTAAACAAAAAATGAAAATGTTCAATGCCTATTTTTATGCATTAAATTTCATCCATGGCTTATTGTTTTTTTTTCAAAACTAACTACACACTTTCTTAATTTATTTCATCCTAGATTACAAAAATGTATAGTTATTAGTTGTGGTCATTTTGGTGTGGTCATTTTTTGAATGTATTAGCCATTATAGGATTTATATCGGAGTATTTAATTGACCACAGGATTTATAGGCTAATATCTTCAAAACTAACTACACCAATTTCATCCTAGATTACAAAAATGTATAGTTATTAGTTTTGAAAAAACAATAAGCTACAAATGAAATCTAATGGATAAAAATATGCATAAAACAATTTCTTGTTTTGTTTAGTTAAAGATGGTTGAAAAGACGAAGTTCATTTGAATGCAACAAGAGTCAGAGGCAGACCCAAAGGAGAGCTAATCCCCCCCCCCCCAAGCGGAAATTCTTGCGTTCACCACAAACAAGAGTTACAGAAAAATGGCTCTTTTAAATATTGGATAATATAGTTTGAGAACATGTTTAAATAATTAGTTAAAAAAAATAAAACATACTCAATAAATAAGCATATACATTATCAACCAATGTTATAATCGACTAAATAAGGGACTTTTTGTTAGTTCTAATAACTAATACGTTAGTGCGTGCACACACACACATAAGGGTTCAAAACTCAATGGAGTGAGTTTCAGCCCTGATTACTCTAGGCTCCCCCCTCTCTCAAACCCCCCTGGAGTAAAAAAAGCAAAAAAAAAAAAAAAAAAAACCGACACAAAATCGTTCAAGGGCGGAGGTAGTTGGGGGGGGGGGGCACCGGGCCACCCCAAAAAATAAATTCTTTGTACTTTTAGTGTAAAAATTTATGTGTAAAAATGTATCTGAAAAAATTATTTATATCGGTTCACTCCAAGCTTTGATCCTGACTACGCCCCTGAAATCGTTTATCCCGTACCGTGTACGGTACGGGTAAAGATACTAGTATGTTAATATTCATTACTTCTCAATCACTACTGTAATATTAGGCTCAGCCTACGAGAATATGTAACCCTAATAGCGCTATTTGATAGGTATGTTCTTCTGTTTCAAGTATTTTATATTTCCATTTGAAAAATTATTTGGTGTTCTAGGATGAATGTTCCGATAAAGTATCTTATGGTCTGATGCATCACATGACACTTCCAAAGAGGAAGTCACATGTTCGAATTTTACCCAGTTCAAGAATGTCGGCCTTAACAGAACATACTGAATAAATATTATAATAGGTTAGAAAGAATTGACAAAAGAAGACCAATGATCCGATCTAGTTAACAATGTATTAATGAATAAGTATACATTAACATAAAGTTCATAATACGTAGTAATTTTTATTTCACTTCGAACTCGTGTAGTATTTGATTTGACCATATCTTAGTGTATCCCAATATATATACCACAATACCACATGTGAATGAGTAAATTAAAGTAGAGCTTTCCATTTTGATTTAGAGAAAATAGAAACTGATAATACAACTTTGTAGCTATTTTGTTACAATAGTCCCCCCTAAGCGTAATTTAGGATTAATTTCACCTTTGCACCGTATCTTCTTTCAACAATATTGACCGGTTGATGAGTTGCTATTCCAGATTATTTACTTTTCTTCTCAAAACATTACATCAAAAATTGCACTTTTCACAAATGATATCCAAACGATTTTCCGTATCATTTTTCTTTTTTCTCCCTAAAAGTTTTCCCTAAAACAAAAGAAAATAACCTTAAATGCTTTCGTCAACCGGTCAGGGACCAATGAAAAAGAAGATAGGGTACAAATGTGTAATATTCCTCAATTACGATTATTAGTTTTCTTTTTTTTGATGTCTCATTAACTTTGTCACTTTCCCATTTAAGTAAAGAATTTGTGGTTCCAGTTAATTCCCTCTTCTGCACAAACTACAATTTTTACTTTATTAATCGTCGTGCTGGTCAAACTTGTCAAAGTTATTAGGGACGGATGGAGTATTTTTAATGAAATTAAAAAAATTGTTCTAAAAAAAGTTACAAGAAAATGAACCCGTCCTCTTCACTGCGGGCTATTTATATGTCCTTCAGTCCTTAGTTTACTATCATTAAGTAGGAGTGATTTATAATACGAAGTACTACATAGTAGTTAATTATTTACTTAGTCCAAGCTAAGCAAGAAATGATTGAGAAGCTTTGGGATGAGGTTATGGCCGGACCTCACCCCGGCGATGAGAGCACCCGCGGCGGCGGCGGCGGCCTTGAGAAGCTTCTGAAGACCCGCCCCCTCTCTATCCAGACAAGTGTAGTGGATGAAGCAGCCGCAGCTGGCGGCAGCAGCAAGTGGTACCAAAGGTCGCCGGCAAGCCCAACGACCCCTTCCCCGACGGCGCGTAAGGACAACGTGTGGAGGAGCGTGTTCCACCCCGGAAGCAACCTTGCCACCCGGAATATCGGTGCCGAAGTCTTCGACAGGCCTCTTCACCCCAACTCTCCCACAGTTTACGACTGGTACACTAATTAATTTTTTTCTTTACTAAACTTTCATATACAGAAATATAATGATCAGGTATTTGGGATAGATTAGATCAAAAAGTAATTATTATACTAGTAATAAGTTTAAACATTAGTAAGATAGCAAAACACTACATACAAAAAATAAAAAACTTCCACTAAAAAAGTTGGGAAAAAAAAACAATTGCATGCTCTAATAACCTTTAATTCACTATAACCACAAATTAAAGTATATTTTCCTTGATGGCCTTGCTCTTACAGTTACTGCAAGATTTGCGAGTAAACACAGTAGATACAAAATTTGAAGAAAAAAAGCAGACAAATGCTTGGTATTGAATAAGAACAGCAATTTTTTTCTGTAACAACACTTAATTGGATATTTTCATGTTTTCGCGAGCATTTCATAAAATTATTTGTATTTTTTACCGTAATATTACTTGTACAATATTTCAAAGTTGTTTATTTGGTGTTATCCACCATACACTTTCATTTTATGTGTCTTGTTTTAGTTTAGTACCTTTATAAATATATTAATAAAGTGTTTGAAAAAGTAAAACATGAAAGTGGAATCTTAAAGCAATCCATTTTTACCTGTCAATGTTAGTATGATGCAATTTCTTTTTTTTTGTGAGAACTTACCTGCACTAGTAGGTAAAAAAGACTTAGAGCCCGTTTGTTAATACGAAAATCGGCTGATTCGGTTGAAATTTATAAAATTTTTACTGAAATGGTTGCATTCATGGAAAAATTATTTTTATAATATATTTTATTAATAAAATAAGAAAAAAATTATATGCAAAAATAGCTAAAATGATCATTTACGCTAACTTCAACCAAGATAGCCAGAAAAGTAACTTCAATCTTTCTTTTTCTTATTATTACACAATTCAGCAAAAAACTACATGTTTGGGTGTTTAGTGATAAAGTTGATTGGTAAGCCCGATGAGTCGGAAAAGATGTTACCAAACGGCCTCTTAATTCATCTATTTCAATGGATCGAGAGGTTTATTTACGGGTCTGGTCCTATGCTTGCATATGGATATTCTTTTCGATCTAATCAAACCTGTGGCTTTTGGAAAATTTGCAGGATGTATAGTGGAGAAACAAGATCCAAGCACCGTTGAAGAGATCGATCGATCGACGGTCTGAAACTGTTCGATCGGGTCATAACCAATCGGCTCAGGGTTGTAGCTACAAAATTAAACGTACCCATCAAAATAATTTCATGATCTTGAGCCGTCTGATTGTGATCCAACGCCCCTTGCGAATGTGATCACCGCCAGTGCTCTGTTTTAAGCTTCAATCATCTTTCCTTTCTGATCTGTTGTTTTTGTTTATCATTACTACTGCTACGCTAAATTGTAAATGTATCTCCGGTTTCTGTGTGTTATCTTGGTCTCTGTTTGCTATCTTGCACTTCTTTTTGTTTGCCTAGGATGTTACTTGGTCTGGTTAACTGGTTTGGTCTGGTTTTTTGTATTTTTATGACTATCCAAGTCTAATCTGGTCTGTGACAAATTAAACATCCTTACACTTCTTTTTGGTGAAGTGATTTTGTGAGTTTAAGAGTCTATTTCGCAATTATTAAGAGGCCGTTTGGCATCGGCTTATTGGCTGAAATTAGTATAGATGATCATTTCAGTTATTTATATATATATATATATATATATATATATTTTTCTTTTTTTATTAATACCATATATTTCCTAATTTGTTATGCTTTTGAAATTATTCAAGTTATGCTTTTGAAACATTTAAACAATAAAATACTCCCATATAAACTTTGTCTCTTTCCTTTCCTTTTTCGGATATCCCAAAAACTTTTGTCATTCTTCCTTTTAATCAATATTTCATGATTTCTATTAATTCTTTCTTCTCTGCACAAATTTCAACCACACAGTTTTTATTTTATTTTTCTCCGTGTTGGTCAACTTTGGCAAAGTTTTAATGGACGGAGATAGTAATAGGACATCGTGGAATCTATTATCAAAGCCCGACCAAATGAATGATCGGGTCAATGGTCAACGGCCACTAAATCCGGTCAATATTCTTTTAAAATAAAATGTAAAAATTATTTTATTATTAATATTTATAATTTCAATAATCATATTATACAAATTATAAATAATAATCATTGAACCTGAAACTTTTAGCATATAAAATGTGAATGCAACATTTATTAGTAAACCATTAAAATAAGGGAAAGTTCCCGAAATAGGACTAAAACAGTTTGAAAATTCCAAAATAGGACTGTCATGTTTTTTATTCCCAAATTAGGAGTAATTACTGCCAAGTTTGGAAAATACTGTCATGTTTGAAGTCTGGTACTGCCAAAACATGGCAGTAATTAGTCCTATTTTGGAAATAAAAAAATGTCAGTCCTATTTTGGAATTTCCAAACCTTTTTAGTCCTATTTTGGGTAAATTCTCTTAAAATAACAAGTATTTTTACTCATATTTGGTATCTTTGTTCTAAAAATCATTCTAGGCGTCCGACTAGTCCCCGCCTAGGCGTTAGAGGTGGCTGGTCGCCCCGATTTTCATCTAGGCGCTCCGACTAATTTGTTTGCTGTCTAGGTGAATTAGTCGACCGCCTATGGGGCCTAGATGCCCGCCTAGAGCGCCTAATCGACCGCCTAGGCTGACTAGATCCGCCAAACATTACTTTACTTTTTAATTTTAATTTTCTAAGCGGTGTACGTACTTTAACTTTAGCCATGGATATAAAGAAATGAAGTTGTAAATTAAGATAAAACTATATATGTTTCAATATATGTCTAAATTTCATCATTATTTATATTTATAACATAATGAAGTTAAGCGATTAGTTATCATATACTACGTATGATTAAATGTGATAATTCTATCATTCATGTTTGTTAATGTATATGTGTGTGTGTATTTTATACACACAAAAATACAAAATTACTTATCATATTTATGCAAATATATAGATAAAAATGTAACCCGACTAGCGCCTAACGCCTTTTAGAACATTGTTTGGTATAGTAATAGAAATACGAAGTACTATGTATAATGTGATGAATAATTAATAACAGATAGGATATAATAGTATTAATTTATAGTTAAATAACACAAATGAACAACTTGCTTAAGAATCAAGCATTCCAGCTCATCTGGTTGTGAGGTTACCGTGCCTAGTGGGAGGTCTCGAGTTTGAATCCCGCTAGGCACACAAGGGTGTAAAACTCAATGGAGTGAGTTTCAGCCCTGATTACTCAAGGCTCCCCCCAACCCCCTCCCCCAGACCCCCCTGGAGTAAAAAAAAAAAAAGAACTTGCTTAAGTAGTACAAATGGTATAAAAATAAAAATTCAAATTAAAAACGGCCAGGTTTGCAGGTTCCAAACAGGTTCCGGTCCTAGTTTGTACCCGGATTTTGGGCGGGTCATCTGGTTTTTTGAGATTAGCCTGATTTGCAAGTTGGACCCTAACTAGCCTGGTATTCCGATCCAAGCGTGTCGTCGGGTTCCGGGTTGACTCGTCTAGACCAGTCGGGTTTGTTAATATTAGGTCAAAATTTGAATAAAGAAAAGAAAATTGAACATAAAAATAAAATGTAAGTTAAAAAATAATCTCACCAGATTATAACGTTTATTCCTTACCAGATTCATTGTGTATTCATGAGTCTCCCTAGCTCTTTTAAATTTAAGTTATTGACATTAAAACTGACAAATGAATTGTTCCAAAAAAAAACTGACATGAGAAGGCGAAGTTACAATACATCCTCATTAAACAATTGTAATACCTCAAATATTTAATTAAAATATGAAATGTACGGATGTGAAGTGTTTATATCATGATTATTTAATATAAATTGTGAGGAGTATGTGTTACTTTTTATAAAATAATATATTATGTTGGGTGGTGAGATATAAAACACCACTATGATTTTGATGTAATTTAAAGATAAATTTTGACAACATATTTTTATTTTACGAAGTAAAATAATTTTGTACCTTCAGTCATTTTGAGTGTAAAGTGTTTTAATTGTCAAACAAGCCATGAAGATTTTAGTTTATTGCGCGGGAACTCCAAAGGGTTGAATCCCCACCCTAAAGGCCTCCAGGCCTCGACCCTACAAGACATTGAGAGGATTTAAGTTACGGCGACTCGGTCAACATAATGATGGTAGACATTGTATCTGTGTGCACCAGAGGCCCAGTCTAGCACACATGAGTTGTAACCTCCGCTGCGGGTTTCGATCAACGGAGCTACTCATGCGGGTTAGTCTATTGTGTCCGAATAAGGTGTTTAGTTGCCTAGAGCTTTAGATTCGCCTTATATTTTATTTGCTTTCAAATTTAATTTTCAAGACATTTATGTAATATGTGCTTTTAACTTTAACTGCATATATATATATATGAAGAAAGCTATTTGTAGATATATATAAATAACACTACATAAGGTTGTATATATTCTCAAAATTTATTATTATTATTTCATACTTATTCTGTTCTTTAATCGTTGCAACATTATAATTTTTGCACTATTCACACACCTTATTTTGATCACAGTTTTCTAGTAATATATGTAATCAAATTATTATGCATAAAATTTCATTTATTACATTATTGACTTGTTGAGTTAAGTGAGTAGTTATAATATATTAGTAAATGTGACAGTTCGATCATTTTACATGTTAATGTGCGCGTTTACCACATATGGACACAATATTATTTATCTTATTTATGTAAAAGTATTAATAAAAATATTTTCATTAATAAAAAATGTCTCCGGCAAGCCCCCGCCTAAATGCCTAGGCACTAGGAGATGGGTAGGCAGTAGGCACTAACGCCTTTTAGAACATTGATTTTAATTAACAAAGATTATTTTTTATGGGTTGGGCCAATAGGCTGGCTGGCCCCTATTTACATTCATGAACATAAAACCATAATATTTATGTTTATTAAAATATAAACTCAAAATCTTTATGAGTAAAATGTATAAATGGTTCTCAAACTATCATCATCATATTATTTTGGTTCTCGAACTATTAAATCTATCATTTTAAACCTTAATCTATTTAATCTACATTAATCGATTCCTTCCATTAAAAATTGTCGTTTACATTGACCGTTGATAATTTAGTAGCATCTCATATTTTTACACATTTTAGAACAACACAAATATTCTTCAAATTTCAGTAGCTAATACTCCATACAGTTTTTTTAGAATATACATATATATACACATACACATATAAGAATTATAAATAAATAATTAAATAAATAATATAAAACCAAACATATGGCTTAAATATATAAAAGAGGGTCCCTAACATTAGAAGACCATTTATACAACGATAGAGAAAGAACTGTGATGGTAGAAAAGGGGAGAAAAAGAGAGAAGATCTAGCCAAAAAAACAAGTTATGTATTCATTCTCTTCATCTTATATCAATTATATTCTAAAATTTCATTGCTGAAATTTTGTATTTTATATGTTTTTAAATTGTATGTAGTTTTATTTAGCTATTTGATATTTTTCTTCCTAGGTTTATGAAACCATACAGCTGCCTTCTGAGTCCAAAAGCTTAGATATTTGATTAGTTTCCCTACAATTATAATCTTATTAACATATACGGATAGCTTATTTTTGTTTCACTTGATTGAGCTTTATTTATTTGAATTGAAATAAAATATGTATATCATGTATTCATTTGATTCTTTTCTTAAGAGAGGATAAAACAACTCAATTATAAAGAGATGAGTCGATAAAATTAAATAAGAAAACAAGGATGGTTGTAATAATTAATTATTATTATTAGTTATGTTAATAATAATAAAAATTATGGAGTTTTATTAAAATGGAGTATTTATAACAAACAATTAATAATGGAGTATTAAAAGTCTTTATTTGGTGAATTTTCAAAAATTTATATAACAAATGCATAAGTGGAGATGTTACATCCACTGCACCTTAAAAATCACATTTTTTAGGAGGGGGAGGGGAGGGGGAAGAGGGGGTGGTGATGGTAACCTTACAAAGCGGTGATGGTGGAAGGAGGGGCGGCATATAGAGATGGCGTTGGCAGCAAAGAGCAGAGGTAGATGAACACCGACTACAACAAAGATGAACACCAAAGAGAGTGAGGCACACATCTTGGGAGGGAAGATGAACACTGTACTGTTTACAAAATTAGGGTTTTGATATAAAATAAGAGAGCATAATGGTAATACGGAGTCCTATTTAGGGACTTAAAAACAAGTAATCTTATTTGTGCATTTATGTTTAGTTTTAGTCTTATATATAGGACAATTACTTAATACGAAGTATAATACTTTTATTTAGAATTACAAAACATTTTTACTCCTATTCGAATATTTTTCGAAATCATTAACACAAAAACATGCATGGTAAACTTGTAGTACAAGGAAATATGTACAAATGTACAAGTATTTATCGCTAGTGTAAGAACTTATAATAATAATAAGAGAAAAGGGGCAAATAAGCTCACGTACTAACAAAAAAAAAGTCAAATAAGTCCTTTATTTAGGAGGCTCTGTTTGGCCATCACCATTTGGGGTGGTTCCCGATGAAATTTTTTGATGAATTTTTTTTAGCATCTTATTCATTAAGTCTAGTTTACGCATACCAAATTTCAGCTAACAAATTGTACGTAAAGGCAGAACTTTACCTCGAGATTCAACCACTTCTCTAGCAATAATACATGAACAACGTAAATAGTACTCCGTATAGTTCTTAGACAATTAAGGCCGAACTCTAAGAATAAGACGGTTTTATCTTAAAATAAGCTGAAAACATAATTGTTTTGGGTTGAGTACTAAAAGTAAATTAAAATTATGAGTGGGATGACATCTCAATGAAGTGTCACTAATATCACTTTGTTGTAACATTTCAAACTATTACACGTGCTTTTAGTGCCCGACCTGTGTTGAGCATGCTCCCAGTTCCAGACCACGATCGTTCAAGATGTGCATCCAAAACAGAACCAGAATTCCAAATTGGAACCAGAACCATTGGAGAGACCGTGGGGTTCTGATTGGTGTAGACGTGGACCAGAGTTGGCCAGCTCCAATTGTGAGTCTACTGTAAAGAAAAAACGTATTTGTTGGGATCCAGAACAGCCAGCAACCAAGAAGGTGGACCGGGCGTGAAACAAGCACCCGTTAATTTGCTTTTGTTTCATGAATTTTGGAGACTGTAGCCCATCCATCTAGGATTAGATTAGAATTGATTCATGTACAACCCTATTGGTATGTCCTCTTGAAGAAATATTTGGATCCACCAGTGTATTGGTTCACTTAAAAAGTAAATCATGTATTCATGTGTGTGTATGTTTGATTGTACTTGCATGCATGTGGGGCTTGAATCGCCATAGCACAAATGCACTATACACCGGTATATATAAGTGTAATTGTCCTATATAGGACTAATAATAAACTTAAATGCACAAATAGGATCACATCTTTTTTATTCCCTAAATAGGACTCCGGATTACCATTATACCCTCCTATATAATAACTATCCAAAACCCTAAAATTCTATCGATCACTTCTTCCTCTGCGCCTCATCGCCCCCTCTCTCTCTCTGATATCACCATCGCAACAAACTCCCCCCGCTCTTCAGCGCCGCCGGCCGGTTATCCATCGTCGTCGCTAGTTTTCCATAGACGCCGCCGATTTACTGCACCGCACCGCCTCTCTGTGTCGGTAGTTCTTCGACGCTCCATCGCCACTCCCCTTTTCCAGGTTTTCCCCTTCCTCTTCCTCTTTTTCTTCCTCTTCCTCTTCCTCTTTTTCTTCCTCTTCATCCTCCTTCTCCGTTTTTGGCAGATTTTTTGTTTTTATTCTGTTGTTTTTTGGCAGATTTTTTTGATTCACTTTGTGGAGTTTTAGCATCCTCTTTTCTGATTTTTGGTCATTAATTTCGTAGTTCATATTTCTGATTTCAATAAAAAAAAATTGTTTCATAAAAAAACCATGTTTTTCTCGATTTTGGATAGAGTTCATATTTTGCCAAATTTTTGGCAGATTCGTGTAAAATGTTATGGCAGAAAACCTATAGTTTGGCATTGATTTGAGAGTGTTGCCAATTATATGATATCATGGCAGAATTTCAACAATTTGAATGTATTTCCAATTTTATGACAGATTTGCCGATTGTATTTTGGTAGATTTGCCATATTAATATTTAATATTATGGCAGAAAATTCTTATTTTTATTCCACTGTTATGGCAAATCTGATATATAGCTTGATTTTTAAGGTAACAAGATGGCAGATTTTCATCTACAAAATTTCCGATTTCAATAAAAATTCCGATTTTTACAGATTTGGAATATTGGATTTATATTTTTGTCAACTTTTTGGCAGATTTATGTTTTTATGTTGTCAATAATTTTTTTTGCAGCAAGGTGACATTTTCATAACCGCCGGTGATGGGCCAGCAATGGTGCCGGGAGTGACGACGGTGTCGGGAGTGATGGGGGCGCCGGTGCCGGAAGTGATGGCGGCGGCGGCTATGGAAGTGACGGCGATGATGACGGAAGTGGAGGCGCCAGAAGTGATGGCCGCATTTGGAGTGTTGGGAGCGGCTGCGGAACCTAGCGTTCTAAATAGCTTTTTTATTTTTATTTTTTTTATTGTAAATAGATTCATAAAGTTAGTAAGGGTAATTTTGTACCATCAATACATTATTAGTCCTATGAAACATGGAAGTCCTATTTATGCATTTCTTCATTGTTTTAGTCCTATTTAGGGTATTAACTCTATATATAATTATCAAAAGTGATACGTAATTTTTTTAAAATGTTACTCTTGTATTTTGTTTTCCATCATTTGCAATGGAGCCAAAGATTCATTATTTTTTGGCTTGAGAATATGATGAAATAAAGCAAAATGGCTCATTAAACTGTCTGCGCTTCTTTGTTATGAAGCAGCAGTCAGTCCATGCAATTTTGGACGCGATTTTCACTACGGGTCATCCGGAAACAGTCTCTTTGTGCTTTAGAACAAGGGTAAGATTGCATACATCCGACCCCCTTACCCCACCGTAGGTGGGAGCCTTTGCAGCACTGGGGTAAATGAAAATGAAATGAAAATGACGCTTGTATTTTGTTCATTTAAAACAAATAATTTGTCATTTACTCTTCCATAAGGTACTCACCAAGATTTACACATTGGATTGTAAACACTTTACAATGTTATCTAACCTACTTCAAAGGATCAAGCTAAATAATGTTATTGTCTTATTCTCAATCTTAAGCTCGGTATACTAACTATACAGCGACAAGAGCAGGCCTATGAGGGCCTCAGGGATGAGTAGGGCTACGGCTTACCCAAGTAATTTTTATAATCTTTGGTCCTCCGACATTAGTTTGTTGGGTATGCCCCTCACAAAGCCTATGCTAAGTGAGCTAGACACCCATGTACTGATACGATTTGTCGATTATATGAAACACGAGAAGTTTCATCTAGGGGAATGGTGAATATGGTGCATTTCCATGAGAACAATGACCAACACATGACCGCACTGTATCCCAAGGACTCTAAAACAGATTATATGGTCAGGGGATTACATATATGTTCACAAAACCCGTCCACTGCATTTTATCAATAGCTACTATGTGTGCTGCACTGCTTCTGCCACTGCGTAAAAACTATGTTCTAACCTAGGAAGCACGGAAACGTCAATCTGGGCCAAGTTTCCGTCCCGGAAACGTTTCGGAAACGCGAAATGCGTGGAAACGCTGGGAAACGCTCAGAAACGTTTCTGGGATCTTGGGCTTCTAGGCCGGGTTGGGAAACGTTTCGGAAACGGGGATGGTAGTGGGTTGTGGCGTTTCCGGTTAATTTCAATAAAAAAAGGTCGGTCAATTATTGAACAATCATTCGCGTTTAGTTTTTTAAAACAAAAACCTGCTACGTTCAGAGTGCGCCTCTGCGACTATACCCTCTCCGTGTTACCGCAGTACCAGTCGACGGCTTGGTGACTGCTTCGAATACCAGGCGACGGCTTGTTGAAGACTGAAGCAACGGTTACCCGCTGGGGACTTGGTGACTCTTCGAATTGGCTGGAAGGGAGACTTGGCCGAAGAAGGGAGACGCTTGCTGCTTCACTAGTTCGCTTCTTCTCTGGACGGGGGGGGGGGGGGGGGGGGGGGGGGTTCTTTATTTAAATAGTATTGTTTGGAGTAAGTCTTCCTATATTTATCATTAACTATGGAAACTGGTAGTGGTTGTAGTGATGATGCAAGTGGGTCAGCCAACAAACATTTACTTATTCTACTCCGTATTTTATTACTCGGTATTATGCATTTATTTATAATGGATTATAACAAGGATTATGTTTTGTTTGATTATTTCGTATTTGTTGGACATAAACATTACCTATACTAATAAATTTTAAATTTTTAGTTCGATGTTTCCTTGCCGTACCCGTATCTTGATATTTTGAGTTCAGAGTTTCCCCGTCCCCGTTTCCGTTTCCGTCCCGGTGCTACTTAGGTTCTAACTTCTCAGAGTAACAAGTAGTCACAACTGAAAAAGCATGGAAGAAATATGGTATCAGTCATAAAATTTCACTTAGGTATCACTGGTTTCTAAAGAAAGGTGTACATATTATATATATGAAAACGTGCAAGAGATTGTCAAGAGCAGCAAGTCATTTGTGCTAGTATTATCTTAATTAGGACCTTCCATATATAGATCACAACACCTTGAATGAAAGGTGCTTTGCTACAAGTACAGATTATAGGCTTAACTGATTACCTTTCCACTAAGCTAAATAAAAACACTAGACTGGATGTATTTGACTAAACTCGAAATTCCCAAGTATCTGTGCACAGCAACTGAATGTTTTTCACCACCATTACCACAACCACCACCCTAACCCTTTGACTTGAGCCGATATGCCAAAAGCTGAAATATAAGACAATAAAAGAAAAAAAACGGAAGGGTAAAGGTTACATATCTGTTAAATCTCAATCAATTTGCATTAAATGGAACTACAGCAAGATATAGAACGGACATCTCCGCATGTACCTCAAGCGCATATTAGCCAATAAAAAATCAGTGTAAATGTGTAATGTGTCTATAATGTTTGAACGTAGGTGCAGATTGGCCCTTCAAATTCTTTTAGGCACAGATGAACACTTGAGTCTCTTTTCATAGCCCTTTATTGTAAGTGAGAGTGTTCTTCATATGAAACTTAATACTACATCAACAACAACAACATCCAAGCCTTATTCCCAAAAAAAAATTGGGATCTGTTATCATGAACCGATCCATGATATCGGAGCCAAAAGGAGAAGAAAGATAAGAATAAAAGTTTAACAAGATAAAACGTATAAGATAAAAATAAATAATACCTCCGTTCTTAAATGGTTGCAACATTAGAAACTTTACACTATTAACGAGCTCTAATTGGAAGGGGAAAAAAACAGACACCCCATCCCTGAGGGCCCCCAGAACCGAACCGAACAGTTATCTGGGAGGATCTAAGTTGAGCTTTGATCTCTGATGGAAAGAGAGTGGGATTTCATCCCAAGTCATTACTTGGAGTTGAAACCGGGACCTCTCTACTTTGACTACATTTTATTTAGGAATGCAAAAAAAATTATTTTTTAAAAAAATATAATTAAATATTTCTCATTTTAAATTTTCAAAATGTATTTTAAAAAAATAAAATTAGAGAATTGAATATATTAGTGGTCAAAATTGTGCATTGGGAAACATATAAATGGAAGTGTTGCAAGTTGCAACAAAAAAGAACGGAGGAAGTATAAGATAAAAATAGGGAGATTTCCCAACATAGGTGTAAATGAGGTTTGGAATTCCAAAATAGGACTCCTATATTTTTCTTCCCAAAATAGGACTAACATGGTAGTATTTATTGCAATCTTGTAGGCATGATTGTCAAATAGTTGTAGTACTATATATTCAACATGACAGTATTTATTCAATCATGGCAGTAGTTTTCATACATGGCAGTAACGATTCCTATTTCGGGAAGAAAAACATAGTAGTCATATTTTGGAATTTCAAACCTCATTTACTCCTACTTTGGGCAATTTCCCATAAAAATAACATAAGAACATAAGAAAGATAAAAAGATAAAAAAAAACATAAGAAAGATAAAAGATAAAAATAACATAAGAATATATAAAGATAAAGATAAAAGATAAAAGTGAGAGAATTTTAGGAGATACCACGTGGCTTACAACCTTTGAATATTATTTTAAAGCCTAATACTTTTTGGGGGAATTTGACTTTGCACCCCATATTTTGGGCGATTGCACTCCAAATGTTGAGCGATGTTGGACTTTGCACCCCGTTTTTGGTAAGATTTTTTTAATAAGATAGGGTGCACATTTTTTTATAAGATAATGTGCACATTTTTATATAAGATAGGGTGCACATTTTTTTATAAGATAGGGTGCACACTTTAACTTTTTTGAAAAGTGATGCAATGTTCAATTTCGTCCAAAATATGTGGTGCACAGTCAAATTCCCGATAACTTTTCATTCTCAGCCGTTCTCTTTTGAACGTTATATATCAAACAAATTGGGTTTTTGTGACCTTCCACATGGAATCAATATTCCATTTATAAAAATAATGGACACAAACATTAAACATAAATATAAGTTAATGTATTATTTACAAATATCGTAAATATAACATTCTTTCAATCATTAGCTCCTTTTACAAATAATATACTCCGCACTAAACTATAAGGAATACTTTTTCTCTTTAAAATTTTTGTATTAGTTCTCAAGGTCAATATCCAAGTGTAAAAGACTAAACTTTGAAGGCCAATCTGCACCTAAAAGCAAATGTAAAGGGCACATTGGAACCAACAAAATCTTTAAGGGCCAATATGTACCTAAGGGAAAACGTCAAGAACATATTTTTACATTCTTCCTGATCTAAAATAATGTAAATTCACATTTTCATGAAAACACTATGTTTAAAAACCATGTACTCACCAGATTACATTGACTAAAACCACGGCTGGATCGGATTTCTTCCAACGTCTGGTTTTCTTGTAACAAGTCGAACTCGCCATTGGAAGGAACGCCTGCAACTGATTTTGTGTTCAACACAGCCTCAGAGCTTGAAGGTTTCACGGTGGAACTAAGCTCTTTCATCACCAATATGTCGATTCCATCAGCTTGGATTGAAGTCTGCAGAGAGACATACTGTGCAGGAATGCATTCAGGATCTTGTATTGCAAGGGGGGAAAAAATTAAACCGCAAAAATGAATCATTAGTTTTTTCTAAGAGAAAACAGGGGTGCCAATGTTATACTTGAATCAAATGTTTAACAGTCAGAGTTGGTCTGCAGCAAAGATATGGTCGTTGCAAACTTGGAATATCTTCCTCACACAAGGAAACAAGCATGAGGCCGATATCCACCTGCCGAAATAAAGAATCAAACAAAAAATAAAAGAAAGTAGAAAGTAGAATGTGCATGTGTACTGATAAAGCAAACAAACATACAAATCACAAGAACTCCTTTACTGAACCAATTTTACCTTTACTTCATTTTGATTTGAATGTTGGAGAGATTCAATCAGCTTCGAGACTCTACTGTTCCTGCGAATCCGGGCATTACCGCTGCCGCCGCCCAGGCTGCTATACCTATGTTGAGTTTTTTGACTTCGCATGCCACCCTTCCCCCATGCAAGAATTTCTGAGCTGCCAATAAGCCCCATTGCACCAAACAACTCTCTGTTCATTTCTGAATCATTTTCATCAAAGCCTGAATTGGCATTGCCTGCCGTTGATCCTAGAGAGAATCTCCCTCCCAATCTTTTAGCCCTTTTTTGTTTGGCTTCTGTACCATGCTGTTCATCAGCAGAAGACGAATCTTTGTCATCATGGCCATTGCCGTCCTCATCATCATCAGATCCTTGAGGTTCAACTCGATGGTTTCTCCTTCTCCTTAAATTTCTATTCCCAGATCTCCTAATATATGCTGATTGATTTGATCTTGGTGTTCTCTTTCTTCCCAATGCTTCAGTTTGACGTCGAAGCGTCTGGGCAATTGATGCTTGAATCTGTTAATAATTAGATTTTTAGTTAACTTTTCCGTTCCAAATACTATAATTGACAAATCTCAAAGAATATGATTGTCATGCAGCTACCCAAGCCTCCACCACTAGAGATGCATATAGTAACTATCTCACCTCATTGCAGACTCATGATATCTTCCATGCAATTCTTAAATCCCTAAGATGATGAAGGTTTTGGCATTTCATCTCATTGCGCATTTTTAGGAAAGACGAGATAGGAAGGAAATATGACATAAAACTTTACTACTCAATTTTGTAAGGTTTTAGAGTGTTGCTCTAATCGGAATTTTGGCCCTGATGAATGCTTTGGGTTCACATTCTAAAAGCCAAACTTCTAATCATTCATTCATTTTCATTTTCATTTACCCTAGTGCCGCAAAGGCTCCCACCTACGGTGGGGTAAGGGGGGGGTCGGATGTACGCAGTCTTACCCCTATACTAACGCACAGAGAGACTGTTTCCGGATGACCCATACTGAAAATTGCGTCCAAAATTGCATGGACTGACTGTTACTTCATAACAAAGAAGCGCAAACAGTTTAGTGAGCCATTTTGCTTTATTCCATCATATTCTCAAGCCAAAAAATAATGAATCTTTTGCTCCATTGCAAATGATGGAAATAAAAGCCAAACTTCTAATGCAAGTAAAAAATATACTCCCACTGTTCTAAAAAATTAACCTCACATTTCCTTTTAAGAAAGAAAATTGTGTGGTTCATATTGTTTTTCTCTCCTCTAAATAACTCTCAACCACATGGCTTTGATTTTCTTTATCTCTTTGCGGTCAAGCTTGGATATGTTTTGTGGGACGGGAGTAACATCTTTTTATACTTCCCGTCTGTAGCACTATGTAGTTCTTATGGAATTCGAAAGCAATTTTAAGATCATTACATCATTGAAGCATTAAAGAGTTAGATGACAAATATAACTCACCTGCTTATTTCGAGCCATCTCCTCTTCATGAAAAGCCAATTCCTGAACAGGTAAAGACAAATTTGCTTACATAATAGTTCAAGAGGAAATTCAATGTGCTGTGTATAATACTACCTCTTCCTCATATTTGTCAATATCTGGATACAGTATAGCTATTAAGGCATCATAGTTTGGGTCATCCCTCAAAGAACGGCGACTAGCGCAATGCGTGCGACAAGCAGGACATTCATTGTTCCTAGTACACAATTTTTTATTAATTCGCATGATATTTGGCACCATCTATCTGTGAAGGATTAAACTAAAGTAATACCCCATTCGCATAGACTTGTCAATACATTCTCTGCAAAATCGGTGTAAACATTCCATAACCGTTCTTGTCTTTCGAATAATGCCTGCCCATCCACAGTGGTAAGAAGCATCAGCAGATATAAATTCGTTTTAACTTACATATAACACTAAAATATGAACTCCAAAGAACATAATAAAATTCCCTTGAACAATTCCTGATATTCCAAATTCAATTGACTAATATAATATAAGATCACTTAAGATATGCTAAAGCAAATAACTTAAGACAAAAGCATTAAGCGATACCCTGGTATGACACTCAAAATTTTCAAGTCATAATTTCTAATGTACTAATGTGTGTAAATGATTATTCACATTACTTATAATAGAAAAGAATATGAGGAGGTTTATTCATTGTAGTATCACCAGGAAAGACACGTGGAGTCATTAGTCACATTAACAATAGAGTTGCACTCTGAAGAATTATTCGCAGAGTTCACCCAACTGACCCAAGAAAAACTAAAGAGGGAAGGAGGGAGGATGGGGGGCATCAAGAGATTGCCTTTAACAAAAACATAAACTACTTTGAGATTCCGAGTATTTGCAGCATTGAGATTGGGATTCAGAATTTAAGAAATTACGCCTGCTAATTGATTGGCAATTTAAGAAAATAAGTGTGCATATTCTTGTGCATGTTCTGAATTGCATAGTTTCCGACTTTCCATGAAACACTGCTGCTTATGGTCAGCTCCATAACCCATTTGGGTTTGGTTGAAGGGAGAAAATTTTCTATTCCTTGTTTATTCCCTAAGACAAGTCACTCTGAACTTTCTGTGATGACATGTTATCTTCCTTGGAGATCTTTTTCCTGAAATTTTGAGGAACAAAAGTTACCCGCCCCCCTCCGGCATTGTCTTCTCCCAATGGATAGGGAATAGAAAAGGTTACGCTAGGACCCCATACCCAAGTGAGATTCATCATTGATATTATTATTATTATTATTATTAATATTAGCATCATCAGACGAGTTAGTTTATTCTTTGTACAATTTATTCTCTTATCACTCCAAAGCAATTTTCCATCATTTGCAATGGAGCCAAAGATTCATTGTTTTTGGCTTGAGAATATGATGGAATAAAGCAAAATGGCTCACCAAACTGTTTGCGCTTCTTTGTTATGAAGCAGCAGTCAGTCCATGCATATTTGGGCGCGATTTTCATTATGGGTCATCCGGAAACAGTCTCTTTGTGCTTTATGCTTTAGTATAAGGGTAAGACTGCGTACATCCGCCCCCCTCCTTACCCCACCGTAGGTGGGAGCCTTTGCGGCACTGGGGTAAATGATGATTGATTGATCACTCCAAAGCAAACAAAACATTGGGTATTCCCAACATTTTGTTTCTACCAACCAAACTCTAGAATAAGTATTAATTGAACACTGGAATAAGTAATACTAATATTTTGCTTCTACCAGCCAAACACTGGAATAAGTATTACAGGAATCAGTATTAATTTTGTTACCCAAAAAAAACTCATTTCCCTATGTATATACTCAACTATTTATGTTCCTGAGTCTGATGTAGTACATAGTTATTACGCTTTCCTTTCATTGCCACGTATCAAGAGAATTCACAATGCTTCAATAGGAGCTTATATGTAATTATTCTAACATGGCACCAGTAATACAGGAAGAAATAAAATCTATGATGAACAAGCTGTGGAGGTTGTAATCACAAAATTATACTATGGAGCCCCCTTGACGAGTATTGTTGAATAATCAATTCTAGATTCCTAATACTGACTCGATGTAGATTTAGAAGAGGGAATATGTTAGATTGCTTTAGGATTCGCTCCATTACTTCCATTGCCCAGCTAGGTAAATGCACCAGTTTGCCTTAACCCAAGGTTGTTTAATCAGTTAATTATTCAGGTCCTTCAAGTGCAATACAGTCTTATACTCTTACTCATTTATGCATAAAAACGATGTTTCCAACTATTGAGCCTGTTGGCAAGAAAACAGAAATTTTGTCACATTCATAAAAAGCTAAAATTAAAAAAAGGAGAAAAAGAATACAGCAAATACCTAAGCATATCGGACATTGTACTTCTTTGCGTATTTCTGATAGTCTAAGGGTGATAAATCTGCAAAAGAGATATTTAATTGCACAAGTAAATATGATCATTCCTTATAGTAACTTTATTCTCAAATTCATTTTATAACAATAATGCTTAGTATTAACCAGGAATCATGAATGGAACTGGACGAAAGGAAATACATCATAGAATAAGTAAGCCAATCATCCGTATCCTGAAAATCCTATTTGGGATGTATGTCCCTACATCCTAGATCTAGCTTTATACTGTCTCGATCAATGCATTTTCTATGTTACTTCTTAACCTTTCTATTAGAGCCTCAAAACACTAAATATCTGTCCAAGACAAGTTCCTATTGGACAATTACAATGTCAATGTGTTAGACATCATTTGTCTATAGACAGGGTCCCATTCAGAAAGATAGATATGAACATTTTTGAATACTTAAACTCTTCTAGGAGAGCAATAAAGAATAATGCTTCTCTTATCCCCTCTTTTTCTTTTTTCCTACTCATACTATCATTCTAGTATTCCTTCACCTGTTTAAAATCTGTTGAAGAATGTCTTGTATCGACAAAGTGATACACCATAAATGGGTACATTATTGGATTCAGACTAGTAAGCTTTAGTTTGACACTTTGACTCACATGCATTATAGCCCAAATTCTATATGAACTCCACTACTGCCTGAATTGCCCATCTCAAATTCTAAGAGTCATTAAGTCATCATTGTGCTACCATCTCTAATACTACTCTAAGCAATTCATAGGTCACACTATTAGTCAAATACAAAAGTATATATAATTTCCCCTTGCATTTTGTTTGGTTACTGAGTTACTCTTACACAATCGCCACATATATCATACCTAATCTACTAAATCAAGACAATTACATTACAATGCGAATACCTCTACACTTCTACAGTTTATTGGGCCAAATTTGGTGGTGCTTATGCACATTCTCTTCTCTTATAGTGAGAGGATTGGCTTGTGACAGTGGCATGCAGAGATGCTAACTACAACCTGGGGGCATCTATGATGGCCAAAATAGGTTTATATCAAATCAATGAGCAGTTTGGCTTGCCTGATCCCTAAGATAGCGTTTGAAGGTGATATGGATGCACTCAAATAGTTGTTGTTTTTCAACCCTCGGAGGTTATACCCTTTTACAATTTCTTCTTTAGCTTACATTAAAACATCTCATCTTTTCATACTTGATTTCATATTTGGACTTCTGTGTTCATCATAAGGGCAAAAAGAAGTGTGCATGGCGCGGTACAAGCAGAATCGCTAAAATTCTATTTAATTTCATTACTGGTAGTGTGAAATGGTTCCCACCATGCTACCTCTAAGATAATATGAATAAGAGTTTGGCTTATCTGAAACAAGCAAGGTAGAAATGGAAGATAAACAGTATCAATCAAAAGTTTCAATGAAAGTTCTATTTCTGCCTTTCAGGTTTCCAACAAATGTGACACACAAGAGAATGTTTAAAGTTTAAACATGAAGTTGTTAGCAACTATGTAGACTTAATGAAGCAACATCCAAACAAAAACACTCATCTTAGGTAAAATTAAACCATAATGGCCAAATGGATTATTTCCCTTTAATCTGTTTTTCAGACTAATGCAGAAAGATAGTTTTATCTCCACAAAAAGTAAACGAGAGAGAGAGAGAGAGAGAGAGAGAGATGAATTGAAACAGGGATGACAATCTATGTAAACTGTTGTTCTCAGGATATTTCCAAGAAAAAATGAGGGTTAGATTCATTATGCGCATAGGGAAACACCTCAATCAATGCTAAATGGAGCAATAACAAAATGTAGCTAAACAGCGAGTGTGAAATCTCAAAGGAAACTTTCATTATATATGCAAACTATGGACTCCGAAATTAGCATGGACATTAATATTTGGTATACATCCATTAGAATAACAAACCCACGGGCATAAAACGTACTTCTATACAGTACATTTAGTTTGCATACATACACATCAAGTTCCATAGAAACACATAAGTGAATGCACCAGTTCGCATATGATTTATATTTTAAAGAGAAGAGAAAGTGAAAGTACTCGTCTTTTACGGCATCGCTCGAAGAGCTTTCATCCGAATCTACAAGTCAAAGACACAATCGTCGAGTGAAAACTAAAGACCCCATCGAAAAACTGTACTGGCACGCTAGGCATCAAGAGTGGAGAGAAGATTCTACGCGTAAAGATGAACCTAAGATACGTATGCACGTACCGTCTCCTTCATCGGTTTCTTCTTCGTTCTGATTTTGATTGTCCAACTGCAAATCGTCGGCCTTCTCCTCCTCATCCTCAGCTGAAGAAGATGGAGAGGCCTCGCGCTTCTGTGAAGGCATTGACTTGTCAAGCCAGCAGCCGAACTCGCCGGCGGTGGCGGTAGCGGTGGTGGTGGTAGAGCGAGGTGTAATGTGAGTGTGTGCGCCTTCCAAATGCTTTCGTAAATTTAAGTCAGAGCGGCTGGGTACAAGTCCCCTAGCAGACAGTACATATGCGGGATCGACTATTTCCTTTCGTATGCAGCAGCACCCTGTGGAATGGTTGAAGCTTACATACGTCTGCTACTCATCAGTTCAGCAAAATTGCAGGAGATGATTGAATATATATTACCTCCCTCACAAATACTCTCACAAGTATTCCTTCCTCCCATAAAATAGTTCTCTCCTGATTTAGATCGGAGTTTAAGAAAATAAGAATAAGGTGAAAAATGTATAGTTGTGGTTCAATAAGAAAAAAGTGAATAAATGTGAGTCACACAAAACTTTCAAAAAAGAAAATGAGAACTATTTTATGAAACGGCCCAAAAAGAAAACAGGGAATTATTTTGCGGGACGGGGAGTAATAAAATAAAAGTAAAAATTGTGTTATTGAGAATTGTGTACAAGAAAAATAAAGGAAAACTGGTTAAATAATTTTTTCTATTATTTTCAATTCATCAATTAAAGTTGTTGAATTGAGAAAAGTGTCATATGCATACATTTACTTTAAGAGATTGATTACTTTGACCATTTATTATGTTTTTTATCTGTAATAATAGGTTTTATATATTTAGAACTCTAAAACTTTGTTAAAATTTGAAGAAATATAGATAAAAATTGTGGAAATATAGATAAAATTGTAGAAATTTGCAGAATATCAAAGTCAATATTTTTAAAATTTTGAAATTATTTTTATATCGTACATCTATTTAAAAGGTTTTTATATTATATATTTTTTACATTTTGACTTTATTTTCTCAATTTTCTGATTTTTTATTTTTTTATTTAATATTTTAAATTATTTATCTATTTTTAACTTCATGCTATTTTATGTTATTATTACATTATTTTTCAATTTATATGAATTTTTATACTCCATAATATTTATCAATACTCCTAATTAATTTATCAATCAAAATCTAGACTTGATTGGTTGCATTCAAAAAGTAAGTGTACTTATATAGTTATATGATATTTTTTAGTAAAATAACTTTAAGTATTGATTTGAAATAGTAAAAGGATCTATTTGACGCTTTTCCCAAAAATAAATAAGCGGAATTTCGAATTATTTATTTTAAAGCATATGTGGTAAACTCTAAAGACAAAACCAAAAATGAAAGTTGGTAAAATTCAAAACGGAAAACAACATATGAGATTTTATAATTTTATTAATCTCATTTTAATACATATATTTTCTTTAAAAAGTAACTTAAATAATTTTGTTTCATATTCATAAAAATTAATTCATGTACATCGTGTCAATTGCTTTTGTTTGTTCGATAATATTAAATTAGTTTTAATGACCGCAGCTATTTTATTAGTAAAATAATAGAAGAACTTTTAAAAATGGATTTTGAATTTCTTTAGTAATAATTAATAAGGGGTGTTTGAAATTGATTTTTCTTCACCTTCTAGAAACAGAATCAGAATCAATTTTTCATAAACAGATCCCCTAAGAGTGTGATAATTTGGTTTACTTATAAGACACCTAATAAACAATGAATAATAGTTTTTGTTAACAAATATTCGATGAAAATGTTGGCAAGTCGAAATGTAAGTCATGTTAATTGAAACGTAACTTGATACCAGTCGAAATGTAAATCGCATCAATGGAAATATAATTGGAGACAAGTTGTAAATCGGGAAAAGGGTCAGATAGGCCCTCGAACTTACATAAAAAGGTCAAATAAGCCCTTATATAGGAGGCTCTGTCCGGCCGTCGCCATTTTGGGCGGTTCCTGATGGAATTTTTTGATGAATTTTTTTGAACATCTTATTCATTAAATCTAGTTACTCATACCAAATTTTAGCTAAAACTTCAATCGGGGAGGCATTCAAATGAATTCTTGAAATAACTATTAACGAATCGAGTACTTGTCGAATAATTCGATCATGAGCTTATTAACGAGCATCACCTAAAATTCTGCATTCAAGCATATTCATCAAGATTATCGAGCGCTTATTTCAAGCATCAAACGCTTATCGAGTCGAACACAGCCTCATTTGCATGTAAAACTCATCAAGCATCGAACTCGAACCAAAACACCACTTTGACTGAATCGAGATGAACTCGATTTTGGAATGTTCAGGGCTCCGCTGAGCTCGTTAATAGTCATATGCTAGTCTGATAAACTTGCTTTCACTATTACTATGCAGTGGCCAATAATATTTTTAGGAGTTTTATCAATCCAGAATCTAAAATATGGATGAATTAGCTATGAATGTGAGACCTGAAAGATGAAATGTGTCGGTATATGACACAAATTATTGAAAGCTATCAACCTAGGACCTAAGTTGTAACGACGTATATTATTTTTTGTTTTAAAATTTTAAATATTATTTAATTATATTAAACTAATATACTTTTGTGAAGAAAAATTCATCAGAAATTAGCAATTGTATTAAGAAAAAAAATCAAAACCTTTGAAATTTTAGGTCTTTGATTGATACTTTTCAATCATACAAGTCTTATACAGACACATTTATCTTTCATATCACAAATTGATAATTCATCTATATTCTGGTTCCTATGTTGATACAATTCACATCTTTCTCATTAATTTATGTTAAAAAGTACTACATACTCTTTGAAATTAATTACTTAATATAGTCTTATTTTACATTATGTGCATATGCTCTTTTAATTTAGAACTATGTGGATATACTCTTTTTTTTTAAAAAAAAAGGAGAAAACTTATTTATCATAACTGGTAAAAATAACACGAGATAAAGCAATACAATAGCTCAAAGCTACCCTGTAGTGACACATAGAACTGAGTAGTCTCTGAGGACCCGTCAAGTTCGCTAACCCCGCATCATGGTAGACTAATCTATCAGCATCGCTGAACTTGCTACTAAAAGAAATAGACATAAAACTAGAGTTCTTAAAATGAAAACAACAAACAGAATCAAAACTCCTAGTTTCTGGAACCACCAATAAGGGAGAAGAGGTTTTATCAGCAACCTCCAAAGACATCATTCCGATTTTACCAGTCATCGGGAAGGGAGAAGAGGTTTGTCCACCTACCTCAAAAGGATGCCTCCCGCTCACAAGATCTAATAGAATTCCAGCCGGTACTGATCCAGTAGCACCGCCGCAAAGCCGTTTTTTGTCCAGTTCCATTAACCTCCATACTGGCTTCCATCACTTGGATCGTGACTAGATTCCCTAACCCACTAGAGTTCTTGCTCACACACCCCATCCAAGCTGTCACCACACCCAACTGACCAAAGCTAGCGGGGACAGAAACACCCTATAAAGCGGGATATATCGGAAAGGAAACCCTAAGAATATCACCTGTGTAATTCGCCAACCTTGTCACGATGCCCTGTTGTTGCTACGTTGCTATCGGCCTTCTGGATATACACTTAAAATACTAAAATGTACATTTCGATTCTAATCTTCATCTTGATCGGGGCATAAGATTTATCGATTTTATGTATGGATATGTCAAAATGGGATGTGCTTATGGTTATTTTAAATCTAAAAGTCTAAAAAAACTAGGGAAAATTATGGCAATATTACTAAAAGATAGAGCATTTTCCATAATATGACTAAAGAGAATGCATTTATGAAATTGCTGAAGTAGTGAAGACTGAATCTTCTAGATAAAAAGCACAAATAGTAACATAATTATTGGTATTATTGCATTTGGTTACTTACCTCTTAAATGAAACAAACAAGTACCATAGTTATATGTAACCGGCAGTACTTTTCAAAATTCTGTTCAAAAAATCCTATGTGGTGGTCAAAATTCCACGTGTAGATTACACTGTACATTCAATGGTATGGATACAAGTTGTAAAGTAAACTCTGAATTAAATTTCGCCCTCATATAGGATTTTGGCCGAAAATTAAAATATTATTGTCATTTAAAACATTTATGTATAATTATGGTACTGATTTGGTTTACTTAAAGGTTAAGGTACCAAAAATGCAACAATACTAATAGTTAAGGTGTCGTTTATGCATTTCTGATAAGCTATAACCGAACCGCGGTGGATCACGTCTGCTCGGTCTTATTCAGTATAACCGTATAACATTAGCGCAGAATCATGTGATAGTGATCATGAGGCTCAACCTCATTGATATAAAATGTCCCAAAGTAGAACACATTTGCCAATAGAAAGTTGGGCCAACATTATGATAATGGCCTCGACACTGGGGCTCAGCCCACTGATACACATGTAATTTCCGTATTTATGTTTGCATTTTTAGTTACTTTTTGTAGTTTAACATTTCGGAAATTACACACTTTTGGTGTAATAGTTTGGTTTATTTAAATTCTTGTAAAATGTTTAGATTAGGTTTATTCCTGGCTCAAACAGGTCTGCCATCACTCAAAGGATAGTTGGTGAACCCCAAAAGTGGAAAGAAGGTGCAAAAATCACAAGACAAAAAGGAAATCCTGATTTTGGTCTATACTCGGTCGAGTATATACATATACTCGATCGGGTATCTGGTTGAAATTTCAAATCGGATCGGATCCGAAAACAAAGGAACATGCAGGAGAAGATTTTCCACGATCGAGTGTCTATACCCGATCGGGTACACCGACATACTCGATCGGGTATAGCTATAAATTATACCCGAATATCGATCGAGTATGGATCGAATTCGAAGTTCTACACATACTCGATCGAGTATATGTACATACTCGATCGAGTACTCGACCTGTACCTCAAAAAGCCTATAAATACACCTCCTTTCCTCCACTTTTAGACACCAATTCCTTTATACTCTTAAGCTCAGTTTAGAATAGCATTTCTTTATATTTCTTTTAGCATGTTTAGTCTCCAAATGAGGAGCTAAACTTCCATTTCTTGGTTTTGCTCTTGAAGCTTGATTGATTATTAAAGTTGTGAGTTATTTTCTTACTTTCTCCTCTTGATTATTAATTCTTCCCTTAATCTCATTCTATATTAATGTTGGAGGGTGGCTAAGTGACGATTAGTTAACGTTCCAACATTGATTATTACTAGAAACGTTCAACGAACCGATGGTTAAACGTTGATGGTTTCATAAGTAAGTAACTTCGGTTTATTAATGCACGGTCGTGGTTAATAAACTTAAAAGGGATTAATTTTGTTGGTTAAATCGAAACCGTTGTGTTGAGGTTATCAATCTTAATTGATTTCATCAAGGAGTTAACGAGGTTAAAAGCTACTATTATAT